GCATAATTTTTGTCCCTATTTTACCCAATAAAAAGTCAAATGAAATGGAATTTACTGGAGTTGGTTTCGGGACATGTTCATGAAACCCACTCACATTTAGAGATGCACTCCTTGCAAATATTTTACCACAATGTACATTTTGTATATTTCTGTTTCCCGTCATCTGAGCAAAATTTCAAAGCAAAATGACATGGAATTCAGTATAGGACAAGCTTCAGAGCGTAACATGGAAGTGGGGTGGAAGAGTTCATTTTGCATGTGGTACAGCCTAGTTACGCTTGGTTGTCATGGGAGTATAATAACATATATTTAATCGTAAATGTTGAAGTAACGCTGCAATTTATAAAGGGGACGATGTCAATCGGAAAATCAAACAAATCATTTTCATGCAGAAGCCACCATAATTGCTTTTGTTGCATTCCTTCACCTAGCTTTAGATAATTAGTCTATGAAAAAATGAAAAGCCCTAATGGTAATTCATTTCATTGCAAGTAATATGTGCCTTAATGATACCCTAAACCCTATCATCTTTTTTCAAAGGAAACTTTAAGAGAGCGTGTGCCTCTACAGAAAACAACCATGTGTAATGATTGTGCAATCTTGTGTAGGAGGGAGGGTGATAAGTTAAGTGACGAGTGCGGCGTGTGTAAGGCTGATAGATTAGAAAACTGTATTTCGTTTGTGCTCCCAAACAGATCACTGTTTTAAAATGTAGAATTCTCCAGGCAATTCTCAAACCGTACCAGCCTTTAAAAAATACGACCGGCCGGATCTCCGAAATTTGACATGGCAACTGAAGCCCCCCGAGGTCTAACTTAGGGGGGGGGGGGTACTAGTCAGTTTCCGTAGGGACATATTGGCCTTGGAGCTAAGAAGCTAGCCTGTGTTTCAATCCTGGGAGCAGTCTGGTACCCAGATTATTATCATAGTAAGTGAAGCTGAAACAGTTTTCGAAGGTGCTACTGTTAGGCACATATTTTGTTCCTTATGAGGCAGGGTAATCTTAGCAAGCGTTTCGAAGCGCCGTGACAATTCAATTGCCTTCGACTCCTTTTTGGCTGTAAGGATTTTTGGAAGAATTTGTGGATTTGAAATACACGTCTACATTTTATGCTCAACCACCATGAAAAGAATTTGCCCTTACCAAATGTTCAGAATGGACCCGTCATCTGGTACGTGACTTCGATCAGAGACACGTGACTGTAGGGGCGGGTCATAATCTGTGGCCCCCCTCCCACTGTCTGTGTTAGGACTGTCGGTTGACTCAGATATAAGCCACCTCTTTCACTTCTCTTCCAAACACGCCTTGTTCAGAATCTTAACACCGCCCAGAAACACCAAGTTTTTCGGAGACTGTATGTGTGTACATGTTCGGGGATTCCTCGGACCTGCAGAGGACGTTGATTTTCTTGTTTTCATTCTGCCTTCTTATACTTTTCGCTTATAAAATATACATCATACATCATATAATTTTTTTTTTCTGTTTGTCCAGCACCCTTCAAGCCGGAACAGCTTGGGGATTTGCGACTAGGATATATTCACAGTCACCAAAGTGTTATAATTTTGTTCCCTTTTTTACCCACTTAAAAGGCAAATAAAGTGGAACTCACGGGGAGGGGGGGTTAGGGAAATGTACATGGGATTTATTCACGTTAAGGGTGCACTCCTTGTTAGTGATTTATCTCAATATATATTTTGTATATTTTTGTTTCCTGCATCGTGGGAGTATAATGATATATATTTCATCGTAAATGTAAAGTAACCCTGCAATTTGTATAGGAGACGATGTCAATAAAAATCGCTAAACTAATACATATTAGGTAGAAATCACCATGATTGCTTTTGTCTGCGCAATCAACCATGCCATGTATTCTTTTTAGACGATGCCATTAATCATTAATATAAATCTGAGTTCCCTGAAATTTAATGCAAAGCTTTTTCTACGACGAAATATTCCTTCACCTTGAAATAATTTGTGACAAAAAATATGAAAAGCCCTAATTGTAATTCATTTCATTGCAACTAATATGTGCCTTAAATTGCCCCAAACTGAATGTTTTTAAAGAAAATTTTAAGAGAGTGTGTGCCCCTAGCGACAGAAAACAATCATTGTAGTGATTTTGCAATTTTGCGTGGAAGGGAGGCATGCCTGTGGCCGGGG